AGAATGAGGAAACGATAACATGAACTCACTGCATGAAAAGACTGAAAAAATCGGATAGTATTGTTTCATAAAATGGCGCCGATATATCCCAATGTAAAATGGCGCCCAACGTACTTTTTTTTTTTAATCTGAAGCAAAACTATGACTTTGAAAACAAGAAAAATAAGATATTCACTATATGAAATAAAAATTTATACAATGTCAATTGCCACAAATCAATGTCTGTGTCCCAAAAAACTTAGAATGAGTTTGTGTTCCAATATAGAAATAAAGTGTCCCGAAAAACTACAAAGTTTAAAGTGGCGAACAACATATTTTCAAGCCATTAGATATAACAAAAAAAAAAATAACTTTGAACTTCACAATAGAACTAAAATTCGGAAAATCCTCAGTTTTATAAAATGGCGCCCAACTTGATATGATCACTTCTAAAATGACATAAAAGGGCTATATACAGAAACAAATAATAATCGATACCACGAGGTCTTTTTCAATATTAACAATTAATTGCTAACATCCTGTATGATTTCGCCTTTATCAATATTTATTCTAGAGAAAGCCTTGACACTTTACAATATTGGACAACAATTGTCAGACGCATGGACGGCTCTGTCAATTTTTACAGGAACTGGCGATCCTATAAAATGGGTTTTGGTAATCCACCTCACGGTGAATTCTTCATTGGCCTAGACAGATTGCATGAATTGACGACAGCCGTTCCAAACATCGAACTTAAAGTGATTTTAAGAGGTTGGCAGGGTGAGGAACGTTATGCTCTCTATGATGGCTTCCAAATCGGAAATGAAGCCGAGAAATATCAACTCAAGGTACTAGGCAAATACAGTGGCACTGCTGGTGATTCCTTGGAATATAACAAAGGTGCGAAGTTTACTACCTTCGATGAGGATAATGATAACTATGGTGATGGTAATTGTGCCATTGAGTATAAAGGGGCTTGGTGGTTTGATCGTTGTTCGTACAGGTATAACAATCATTTTCAATTACATATTATTTTTTGTTTTGTTTTCAATTTCTGTTCGTAACTTTTCTTTGCAGTCATCTCTTTGGACCATATAAAAATCAGAAGGATGCAACATCATTGGGGATTGAATGGTATTATTTCAAAAATACTGCATATTATTCATTTAAATATGCCGAAATGCTCATTAGAGCAAAACCGGCATAAAAATATATATTTTTTAATGTTTCTAATATTGAATATTGAAAATAAATAAATATATGGCAATTTATTTCGACTTTCTCAGTCTGCTTGCAAGAAACAAAATATTTCAATTTTTTATTTTTTTATAAGAAAGAGTGAATTTTTTCAAGAATATTTTGAAACCATCAAAGTAATGACAGCGGGGTATAATGCACTTCTGTCCAGGGGGTTTACCAAATTCAGATCGAAATTTGTTGCAGTTTTGTTTTAGATTGGGGAAGCTAAAGAAGGAAATTCGCCTATGGAAATCAGGTATTAAAAAAAATTATGTAAGTATACTCAAAAATTTCTTTAAAAATTTACATTGGCTATTGATATAACAAAATTTGACCTCTTTGCAGTTCGCCAGATATAACCAGTTTGCCACCAGGTCCAATAAATGGCATTAACTGACAGCCCGTCATTTCTCTAAGCTCAGACCACTTCACCATAATCGTCTCCATCAGCAAACCATCCGATTACATCATCCCTGAACGCCGCACTTTCCTCAACCATATGAAAGCCAACTGGAAAGAATTCCAGCGCTTTAGAGAACTTTCCATTCATTCTGGTGCACGGTTAGCAGAAAGGCAGAAATTCCAGGACATCATTGAGGATGCAGCCGTTAAAATAATACCGAATACCAGAGATGATACCTAATTTACCAGCAGAGGCAATTGGTGTAGCCAATAATGAACTCCGCCGATCTAACCCAGCATATCCTAGGGTCAGGGAACTCACGTTGGAAATCAGCAAATTCGTCGTGGAGCATCAGCGGTATAAATGATTGGAACATCTGAAGAGCTGCAACAACGGAACCGGTGTGACTAAACTGTGGGCAACGGTTAAATCGCTCTCGAAACCTGTTTAGAAGGATGATGATAAGACCTCGGTCACATTAAACGACGAAACTTGGGCTGATTCGCAGAGATGTGCCAGTTATTTTAAACGACAGTTTGTCGAGCATTCCGAGAGCGACAGGGCGAAGGCATCGTATAAAATGTCTTCCCGCCGGGGAGTTATCACCACAGTTTACAATGGGAGATGTTCCATATGTCATCCGTATCGAAAACTCATCTAAAGCTTTGGGCCCTAATGGAATATCCATGGTTATGGTTATCCCCCATCTGCCCAATTTCAACTGGACACGGTATAAATCACAAGAATTCCTGCGATGGAAAAATTCTACAAAAATCCTTTTAAATGAAACGTTAGAGGGTTAATTAGTTCCACAAAAATATTCCCATAATGTCAAAGAAAATATTGTCGAACTCACCTCAATATACACACCTAAAATATACACATCAAAATAATTCCCTTGAAGATTAATTGAGAATTGAAGAAAAAGTGATCAAAAGAGGAAACTATTTTAAAGAAGTCCCAAGAGATCCCCTTAAATGAAACGCCACAGGGTTACTTATGTTCTCAAAAATATTCACCATAATGTTAGTAATAATATTGCGGAACACACCGAATACCAAAAATTAATAAATCACAACAATTCCTGTCTCGCTTAAATGAGAATTGACAAAAAAAAAAAACGAAATCTTGGAAAGTAGACCCATAAGGCCCCCCTTAAATGAAACGCAGGAGGGTTAATTATGACTACAAAAATATTCCCCATAATGTTAGTAATAATATTGCGGAACAGACCTTATACCTAAAATGTACACACCAAAAGAATTTCCCTGAAGATTCACTGACAATTGAAGAAAAAGTGAGCAAAAAAGAGGAAAATATTTAAAGAAGAGCCAAAAAGGTCCCCTTAAATGAAACGGTACAGGGTTAATTATGTCCACAAAAATATTCACCATAATCTCAGTAATAATATTGCGGAACACACCTTATACCTAAAATGTACACAACAAAAGAATTTCCTTTGAAGATTCATTAATAATTGAAGAACAAGTAATCAAAAGGGGACATATTTTTAAGAAGTTCCGAAAGGTCACCTTAATTGATACGCTAGAGGGTTAATTAGTTGGGCAAAAATATTCTCCATAATGTTGTAAGAAATATTGCCGAACACGCCTAATACCAAAAATGTATAGATCAAACAAATGAAGAAAGACAAAACAAAATTACTGGACCTTGCGAATTTTTAAATTTTAAAGTCATTCTTAATTGTGGTCGATGTTGTAGTTGTTGGTGTTGTTGTGCAATGACAAGAACCAATGCATAAATTCTAAAATTCCAAAAAAGCCAACAACAAATGTTGTACAACAAACAAATATTTATAGAAGAAAATATTTTCCCAGTTAAAAATTCGTATTCCATAATAATACGGGTTGGTCACCCATCAATGGGCAGCTGCAATTCGATCGAAGAGCCTTGTTTTCGCACTCCCATGGATGGATGATAAACCAATGGAGTAAACAAGTTTTTTTATGCCCTCCGCTACAACATGGAGTGTATATTAAATATCTCATTCCATTTGCCAACACCTTGATGTAATTATTTCCGATCCTATCCCAAGTATACAAGTATAATTGGTTTACTTTTTAGAGTAGCCCACACCCCTGTATAACACTGCTTCGCAAATTTTGATATTTTGAGGAGTTTCAGCTTGAGTTTCAACCAAATTTTCGGTAATTTTATAATTTGAATGATTTTTGAGTAGTAAACCTTCCTACCAAAAATTCTCAATATTGTCGGAAGTTTCCGGGTAGCCCCCATACAATGGTACCCTACATTTTTCGGTGTTTTGTCGGGGGATTTTTGTAATTGGATTTTTCAGCTTCTCATGGGGTGTCACATCTCACTACCGAAAATTTTAAATGTTGGTTTAAGTGTTGGTCCCGCCCATTATTGGGTATTTTGAAGGCTTGGGCTGCATTTTCACATCGCTGTGGCTGTTATTTGGTACCAAAAGGTTGTTGAAGGTCCATGATTTGACATGACCCCACATATACTGGTAGATCACCATTTTTCGTAATTTTGAAGGTTTTAAATGAATTTTTTTCATCGAAGTGGCAATAATTTGCCATTGGAGGAGGGATATTGAAGGGTAAAACAAAAATGGCAATAAGAATTATATACTTTATAGGGTCTACAACGGATCCTTCGAGGTTGTTGCAAAGGGAATAGAAATTGACACACTACCTTCTGGTGGAGGGTATACAAAGAAAAAAAACACTAAGGAAAGTAGTAACGTCGGACAGGGCCGACTATGTGATACCCTTCACCACTTTGGGTATATTCTAGATATGTCTCCTAACAGATGTCGCCATTTCGAAAGAACATAGACATGAAATTGAACGAACTGGAATATTTGATCTTTATGCCTTTCTGGTTCGAATTAGGCCAAACTTGATACACGCTATTCGGCAGGCCGCACTCTTCGAAATTTAATCTCAATTAGACACCCGTTTGAAATCTATTTCTGAATGCTGTGTCTGCATCTGCACCAGTTGCAACAACAAGCAATAACGTCATTCTAGCCTCAATTCGATAGGTTGTGGAAAATTTCATGTTACCCGGTGCACCATTTATCTAAAATCCAAACGAAAATATATATAGGAGCTATATCTAAATCTGAACCGATTTTTTACGTAACTTTGCACACATCATTCTAGACTCATTTCAGTACGCTGTGCCAAATTTCCTGAAAATCGAAAGATATGTAGGAGCTTTGGTGCACCATTTACATTAAATCGGACGAAACTATATATGGGAGCTATATCTAAATCTGGACCGATTTTCACGAAACTTAGCATACATCATTCTAGGCTTAATTGAGTATGCTGAGCCAAATATCGTGCAAATTGAAGGATATATAGGCACATTGGTGCAGGATTTACATAAAATCGGATGAAAATATATATATATGGGAGCTAGATCTATATCTGAAGCGGTTTTCGCGAAACTTAGCACACATCATTCTAGACTTAATTCAGTGCGCTGTGCCTAATTTCGTGCACATGGAAAGATATATAGGGACTTTGGTGCACCATTTCTATAAAATCGGACGAAATTATATATGGGAGCTATATCTAAATTTGAACCGATTCTTACGAAACTTAGCACACACTGTTTTAGACTCAATTTAGTAGGCTATGCCAAATTTCGTGCAAATCGAAAGATGAATAAGGACTTTTGGGCACCATTTACATTAAATCGGACGAAAATATATATGGGAGCTATATGTAAACCTTAATCGATTTTTCCCAATTTCAATAGGGTTCGTCCTTGGGCCAAATGAATGAGCTATGTCAAATTTCATTCAATTCGGATCATATATGCGACATGTACTTTATTTACAATTTAACATGGAAAGACAGACGGACAGACAGACAAATATGCATAAATGGACTCAGAAAGTGATTCTATTCTACCGGGGGATTTTTTTAATGAATATATTTTCAGGGCCCAATAGAAGGTGTGGATTTTCTAAAGAATATTTTTTTTTTCAAATAAAATAGTGACTGGTATTAGTACCACATGGCACTACTCATCGTATTCATTATCGAACATTATAGATATGTATTGCGGTGTCAAGATAATTTTTTTTTTTGTATCTACGAAGATAGGTGGTGGGCGTACAGAGCCAATTATAAAAGTATTTCTTATGTTCTGTTATCACTCACTTGTACCCAATGGGGCTTTACAATTAATTAGCTATTGACAATCTTTTGCATCAGAGAGGTCGGATTGAAAATTTTCGAAATAAAAAAAGTGCCTGAAATCTTCATGTAAATCTATAGAAACGTCCATATGTAGTTTAGTAATGAAAAAAAAAATATATTTCCAGCAAATCTTGACCGCAATGGTCCATCCGTTCAGTTGAATTTTGGCCTCTGCTCTTTAATGAGGAACGTCGCTCAACTTTCCATGACCGCACTCGAACAGAAATTCTACATTGTGTTAGGTCGTTAGATTTCACTTCTTCCAGCTGCTGCATTTTGAATGGCTTCACATCTAAATGCTTCCGAGGCTCAACCGTCGTTATATGGGGGCTATGTCCAAATGTGAACCAATATAGCCCA